GGGGAATCTGTCATTCTCTGCCCCTCCCTTGGATCCATCTCGATTTCTTGTGCCCCCTCCCCCACCCCACCGGGGCCCCCTCCCCTGCTGGAGGCCTCCCCAAGATGCAACCGCTCCTGTGCAGTGGGCCAGGCAGTGGCGGCCCCCTTTCCGAGCCCCGCCTACAGAGCTCTTGGCCAGTCACCTGCAGAGAGCATCTCCTGGCGGGGTCTGTTCCCAATCGGACCCCACCCAGGCACACTAGTGGCCCTGCCTGGGGTTTCCTGGCACCCTGAGTGCAGCTGTAGCTCCGGAACTCTGGGGAAGGGCGGCAAGTGGTGGGCAATTGGGCCAGGTGAGCTGGCCATGGGAGGCGACAGGTGGCAGGAGGCAGGGTTGGTCTAGGGCATAGGAGAGCAGGGAATGGGGGAACTTGAGGGTGGAGGAGGGGCACCGGAGCCCTGCCACCATCCCAGGACCTTGGGAAAGTCACCCACACTCCCTGGGCCTCAGTTTCCCCATCTGTAAAATGATGGTAATAATACTTCACCTACCTCATAGGGGAGGTTGTGAGGCCACCATCACCTGACCTGGGGGTCATGGCAGGAGGACTCTGAAGGTGCTACCTGGGAGCAAAGTGTTATTAGTGAAACCTGAGAGCAAAGCCCACCTGCCCTTCCCCCCAGAGCCTCCAGAGATAGCCAAGGCCAGCCCAGGCCCATCTGTCTCTTCACTGTGTCCCAGGCGCCTTCATGAGCGTCACCTACCGTCTTTGTGGGTGCCCTAGACTTAGTTGTTACCTTGTTCAGGTATCCTTTCTTGTGACCATTTCCCCCCGTAACTGCTGTACAAATTCCACCTGCCCCAGACCCCATACCTGCCCACTGGCACCAGATGCCAGGGAAGGGACAAAGGAAAACAGCCACAAAAAAGCCAAGGGGGCCCCCAAGGCCTCCAGGGGTGGGGATTGGTGGCCGCTGTTTGTATTGTGTTTGAGTCCTTGAGCGCAAGTGTTTTATAAAAAACTAAAAACGCACTGTCACAAAAAAAATTTTTTTTGCAGCGAAGAGAAATGAAGAAAAACTGAAGAAAAAAAAAAAGGAAAAAAGAACCATAGAAAATTTTTCCACCACATGCACCCTCTAAGCCAGCAAGATTTCCTCTTTGCAAATTCATATTTTTGTGGGAATGGGCCCTGCTTTTTGTGGCAGGGCCTGTTCTGATTAATAAAGGATCGTGAAAAAGTAGGGCCTTGGCTGTTTCCTGCGTGGGTCCCAGCCTTCTGTCACCTCCCCGGGGGAAGAGGCAGCGGGGTGAAGGGGATGGGGAGCCCTGGGCTGAGTCTCCCCCAAGCTTGTCACCTTTGGGATTTGATTTCTCTGGTGATCAGGCCCTTCCTGAGCTTTCAGCCCATCCCCAGATCTAGAATATGAGCCCACCAGCTGCGCTTCCCTGCCCAGATCCGCTGCTTCTCCCAGATCAGCCCAAAGCAAGGCTCATTGGTAGTGGAGTCTCTCTAGGCCTCGGGGTGCCCCTGAGCTCACCCAGCATGACATCCCCTCCCTCGGTTCCCAGGGGACACTCGTCACCCTCCAAAGCAGGTCAGACAGACCAAAGACAGGGGACCTTCACCTTCCCCACCACCGCCCGCTGGGCCACTGCGGTTTCGGGCCCATGTCTCCTTCCTGGTCCCCATGGGGGAGAAGAAAGACACAGCTCTAGGTCTCTTGGCTGGGCCTGTGGCTTCTCTCAACCCTCTTTTAGTGGAATTCTTTAGGATTAGAAAAGTCTCCAACTCAAGAGCAAGTTCCAGCCTGAGGGCCTGGGAATCTGGGTTCCAATCCCTTCCCTCTCTGGCCTGTGTGGCCCTGGGCAAGCTGTCTCTTCTTCCTCCATGTTCTCTCTGTCCCCAGGAAGCAATAACCACCCGACCCCTCCCTCCCCACACACGGCCCAGGGCAAGCTGAGGCCTGGCAGCTCTCAGGGCACTTCAGAAGGGAGATGCTACATCTGTTTGGGACACAGGCGCAAGGAACGAGCACACCCCCGCTGTCACGTGTCATCTGCTGGTCCCCGCCCTGCTCTGGGGTGAAGCCGCACGCATGCCCCCCCAGCACCTGGGGCCGGCAGCTGCCTCCTCAGGCTGCACCTGCTCCCCCACCTGAAGCTGTGCACCCCTCCCTTTCTTACAACCCGGCTTAAACGTCCCTTTAAAAGGTGGTTATTTCTTGTGGCTCTTGATCTCTGTTCCAGAGATTGGAGGGAGCCCTGGGGGTCAGGTAAGTAGCCTCAGGAGCACCCCGTGTCAGGCTCCTGTTCTGGCGTTCTCCCTGAAAGCAGCCGTGGAGAACCGAGCCTGAGAGCAGAGACAGCTGGGGCCCAGCAGAAGCGGCCGTCCCTTGCCACCAGCTCTGGCCTCTTCCCTGGACTTTTGGCCTCTTTCCTCTGCTTCTGCCTCTTTGGGTCTGTCTTCATTCACACCTCCTCTGAGACAGTTGTCCATCCCCGCCTGTACTCAGGATCACTGCCTTCTGGTATTTTCCTTCTCCTACAAGTCCCACCCAGACACCACAGCTTTCTGGAAGGCCATCCTGGGCCCCATCCTGCTCTTCCCTCCCTCCCCCCGCAAAGACGACCAGAAGGACATGGCTCCAACACGCTGTGTGCCCCAGCTCGTGGCTCCCTGACCATCTGTTTCCCGTGATTCGCCCCGCTCCCCGTGTCTGTGTCCTGTGTGTGTCGTGTCGTGTCGTAGATTGTGAGCCCCCGGGCAGGGATCCCTGTCTGAAAACACGCTGTGTGTAGCACACCTCGGTGTGCTAATAAATGTTCATCTTCAGAATGAGAGTGGCGGGTGTCTTGAAGCTTTGGGACAGATGGCTGCATACGGCTGTGTGGTGGCATTGGAAGCAGGGAGGTGCTTGCTGCACGATGTTCTCCCCCTCCCAAGCCCTGGGGGGGGAAGGGGGGAATGGTGACAACAAAACTGGGAAAGGGTCCTCCCTCCCACCAGAGACCCTGCTGCCTTGCCGGCCAGGGTCTGCGTGCCCAGAGGCTCCAGGAAGAGAGATGAGGCTGCAATACTCATCCATTCCGCCCTCAGAGGCCACTGCCAGCCCAGGTCAGAGCAGCTCCTCCCTGGACGGCACTCACGCGCCTGGCCCGTTTCCTGCCCTGCCGCCTCCTCATCACGTTCCCACAGCCCGCCTTCCTCCTCTGCCGCCAGTTTCCTTGGCCTCTGCCCCTGGATCCTGGCACAAACAGGATTCTGCCGGGCCTTCCCTGCCCTGCTCCCCCCACCCACCCACCCCTCACTGCCCCAGCTCAGCACCTGGCCGGCGCCCCACTCCCCAGAGACCCAGCGAAGCCTGGGGAAGCTGGGGCGAGGGAGTGCTAGGCCCCCACTACAGTGCTCTCTCCATCACCGAGGGGAGCCGTGATGCCCCCTGTTCCTGGCAATAGCCCCCTCCCTACCCTTGTCCCCCCATTTCTACACGGACACAGAGAACCTCAACAGTGCTCCAAAGCCAGGCAGCAGCACCGCTTTAACGAAATTCCCTAACTTTCCAGAAGGGAGTGACTGCTCCTGACAGTGGGGAGTGAGTAGGCAGCAGAGCCGGGGACCAACCCTGACAATCTCCTCCCTTTCCCGGGGAGAAACTCAGCCTCGGCAGCCCCTGCTTGGTTGGCAGTGACCGTGGCTAAGGGTGCTGTGTTTGACAAAACAAAAGGCCAGACCCTGTCTCAGGACGGCAGTGCCTCTGCCCACCAGTGCTCAGTGAAGGCAGCAGGGGAGGAGGTTCCGGGAAACAGACCAGGGAGGGGAAGGAAGTCTGAGCTCTCTGATGCCAGCAGTCACTCCGTGGTGACCATGGCTCTCTCCGCAGTCCCCTTCCCCTAGGATTTCTGTGAAAGGAAGGTAGAGAAATACTGTGGATGGAGCACTGAGCTGCAGCATCCCATCTAAATAAACCCAACTCCTTGTGTACAGAGAAACTGAGGCCCGGGGGGCACTGACAAGGTCACTCTGCCAATTACAGGACTTCGACTAGAACCCATGCCTTTTGATCCCAAGCACGGGGACACCCCCTGCGCTGTGACACAAGCTACAGGCCAAGAGGCCAGTTTCTGGTCAGCTGCAGCTCCTGCCCCACCTGAGTGATCATCTATCTGATCTCTCGAATTCCTGACTGCAAATTCCCAGGCCCCAGGAAGGCCCAGTGACCCTGATGGAACATCAACACTGGGGAACCCTGGAAGGGACAAGGTCTGGAGCCCCAGACCCCTCTTCCTCCGATCCTCCCAGCCCACCCCTCTTTCTGTGTGTTCAAGGCCGTCCCTCTCGCTTGCAAAGTGGCTGCTCCAGGTCCACGCCCAGCCTCCTCCTCAGCCAGGGCCCAGCTATGTGCCAGCAGAGCCGCTGGGCAGGACCTGACCTGTTGGCCCCGTATGACATCAGCCCCTGTTGCCATGGCGATGGAGGCCTGGCAGGATTTTCTCATGGGAGATGGGCCACCAGGCTTGAAGTTTTACAATTTTCTTCCTTTCTTTAAACCTTTATTTATTTTTTTTCTTCTCCTGAACGAGGAGAGAAAGTAATGCCAAAACTAAGCAAAAAGAGACTAAGAAGGAGAGAGAGAGAAAGACGAAAATAGAGTGAGAGGGACGAAGGGAGGAAATGTAGGGGCGCAGAGGGGTGGAAGAGCAGCAGGGCCAGCGAAAGGTCAGCCCATATAAAGAGCCCAAGAGCCAGGAGCCTGAGAACTAAGCCGGGGAAGAGGGACAGCCGGGCCGAGGGAGGGTACGCTGGACGGGAGGGCAGCCTTGAGTGGCCGAAGCCACTCCTGTCCGACGAGTGCTCCTTTCCCAGACAGACAGCACACAACAGCCGGCCAGGTCAGCCTGACACACAGCGGGGGCACGTGGGCGGGGGCAGTGCCAGAGAGAGCCCAGGGTCCCCACAGCAATGGGACTCAATGCTTCCAGGGCTTATAAATAAACAGGCACATGGGAAACGCACATTCTTTCTCCAAGAAATATAATTTATGTTTACAGCCAGTATTTTTTTTTTCCTAAAGAAAACACTACCATGCGGGGCCCTTGCCCCGACAGTGTCCCTGAGTGTCCTCAGTCCTGTCCCCCTCCTCCTGTTATTGCTTGGATAGGAAAGATCTGGCCCTGGGAATTACAGAGCAAGGCCCCTCTCCTCTCCTCACCCCCTCAAGGCTGTCCTTGGTGACAGAGTGGGGGCACACAGTGCCTGTCCTGTGCCTCGCGCTGTGCCAGCCACCCTGGCCGTGCCCATTTAAGGGAATGGAGAGTGCAGGCAGTGGGAGAGGCGCTGAGCAGCCTCCCAGAGCAGAGAGCCCCTCTCTTCAGCACAGGAGGCCCTGGAGGCACAGTGGCTTCTTTTCAAACTTGACAGCTGGAAGGCTCAGGCTGTGGGGAAAGAAGGGAGGGCTCTCTTTGCCCAGCAAGATTCCAGGCCCATGCTGGGAGAAGAGAACAAAATATTAGGTGCGGGAGGAGCCCCTGCCTTCTGTGCCCCATACAAATCTCAGGGGCCTGGGAGGTATGTACTATGAGCCCTGACAAGGAGGGAGGGCACCTGCGGTGTTAGGGCCTCATTCTCAGTTTCCCGCTTCTGTCCTGGCACCGGCCCCACTGCAAGCCCCTGCCCCTGGGCCAGGCCCTCCTCCCAAGGGCAGTTCAGCCTCACACAGGCACACGGTCCACCCCAGAGGTAGCAGCTCCTGCACCAGAAAGGATGTGCCTCCGTCTAGGAGATCCAAACCCTAGAAGAAGGGAGGGTGGTGGGTGACCTGTGCATCCAAACTCAGCCAGAGGTGATGATTCCGTGGATCCGTGGCCCTGGTTCCAGAAGGAAGCTGGCACCTCTGTCGTGTTATCAGTGGCTCTATCGGACTGGACCCAGCCCAGACTTCTTGGTCTGACAACTGCTCACAGTTCAGCCAGGGCCGGTCTTCTCACTACCCAGGAGTATCTGAAGATGGCCCCCGGGCAGCTCGCCCAAAGTGGCCCCTCCATTGCTCCAAGTGGGGGCCTACTGCTCCCCCAGGCCTGGGCAGCCAAAGCTTCCCAGGGCCCCTCCTTCCAGAGCGGCCGAAGCCCATGACCCAGAGCGCAGGCTCAGGTGCCCAGTCCTGGAGCGGCTTCCAGGGCGCGGAGGCTGCCCCCGGTGGGTCGCAGAGCCCGGGAGCCAGCGCCCCCTATGAGCAGGTCTTCTTCCTCCTCATCCTCAAAGGCCCGCGCCGGGCGCCGGGGCGGTGGCCGGGGCGTGGGCTCGTCGCGTTCGGCCATGCGCTCGACGGCGCCCTCCCCCACTAGGAAGACGGTGTCGGCGACACGCGGGGGCCCCGTGACCGGGTTGTGGTCGTAGGAGAAGACGCGCAGCGCGCGCAGCGGGTGCAGGTCGGGGAAGCCGCCCAGGCGGTTGCGGTCGAGGTCGAGGATGTGCAGGCGGCCCATGCGCAGCAGCGCGGGCGGGAACTCCTCGAAGCGGTTGCCGTAGAGCCAGAGGCCGCGCAAGCCCGTCATGCGCGGCAGCTCGGCGGGCAGTGCGCGCAGCCGGTTGTCGCCCATCTGCAGCGACTGCAGCGCCACCAGGCGCAGCAGCGGCCGCGGGAAGCGCCGCAGGAAGTTGCCCTCGATCCAGAGGCAGCGCAGGCTCTGCAGCTGCGCGAAGTCGGCGGGCAGCGCCAGCAGCCGGTTGCTGCCCAGGTAGAGGCGCGTGAGGCGCGGCAGGCGACACAGGCCGTCGGGCAGGCGCTCGAGCTTGTTGAAGTCGAGCGCCAGGATGCGCAGCTCGCGCAGCTCCTCGATCTCCTCGGGCAGCTCGCGCAGCCCCGTGCCGCTCACGTACAGCTTCTGCAGGCGGCTCAGCGCGCACACGGCGCTGGGCAGCCGCCGCAGCCGCCGCCCGCTCAGCTCCAGCTGCTGCTCGCCGTTGCGCAGCTGCTCCTCCGCGTCCGACGGCAGCTCGTCCGGCGTGGACTCGGCGATGCCCATGGTCACCGGCCCCGGCCGGGGCCGCCACCGCCCGGCATCGCCCCGCCCCTGCTGCCCCCCGGCCGCCCCGACGGGGCCAAAGAGTCGCCGGCCCCGGGGCCCCCCGCCCGGGCCTGGCCCTGCGCCGGGAGGGGGGCCGTGCCGGGCCGGGAGGAGGCGCCCGTTCGGGGCCCCGCCGCCGCGCGCCGAGTTCCGCCGCCCGCCCTCGGGCCTCCCCCGCTGCCTCCGCCGGAGGCCGACTGGCTCGGGTTGGCGCTGACACGCAGCTTAGCGACCCGTCGCCCTGGCAACCTCGACGCGCGTGTGGCTGCCAATGAGGCGGAGGGAGGGCGGGGCGGGGCGGGGCCAAGGCGCCTCCGGAGCGGGGTCCCGGCGCCCGAGCCCGCCCTGCCCGCCCATCCCGCCCACCCCGGAGCAAGCACAAGCCAAAGGACCTCCTCCCTTCAAACCTGGCGCTGTGCTGGCTCTGAGACCCGACGTCCCACACTGTCTACACCTCCAACCATAGTGAGCCGTTGGGCGTGTGATCGGGTGCGCCCCAGAGCCGCGGGTCCAAGAGGAAGAAACCGATGACCGAGGAAACGCCGGCGCAGGACCAAGGACTCTGGACAAGCGGCTCTCAAGGAGGGCTGGGGGGCTCAGTCACTGCAGACCATTCACGTCCAGCGGCGTGCGATCAGTCTCTCTGCTGGAGTCACTTCCATGCAGTAACTCCAAACAATATTACTTTCTGGCACTTTTCACACCGCGGGTTTGCGGGAACCGGGGCTTGGCTCCGCCCCATGCCCATCCCTTGCCCACAGCCCCCTCTTTAGTGCGCTATCTCCTGCCAGTTCCCTCCACCCATGCGCAAGGTCTGGGTGTGGCTGCGGTGGACAGAGGACTGGGGCAGGCGGACGCCTTTGAGCGCCGCCAACGATGACCACCCTCACTCTGACGCTCCTCCTTGCGCTCGCTACCACCAGCAGCCATTCGCCCCTGCCTTCTCCCTCCCCGTGTGGTGCCCTCCTGCCAGCGCTCCTGGCAGAAAACCACTTGCTCCCGTTTACTGCGAGCTTACCATATGCCCAGCGCTATGCCAAAAGCATGGCATGGAGTCCTTTCCACAGCCTAGTAGATACCCTCATCACCGTCACCCCAATTTTAAAGATGGAGAAACTGAGGCTCAGAGAGATTTGACTTGAGCTGGGTGACTTTGAGCTGGCTGACTTGCCCAAAGTCACCCAGCTGATGAGCAGCTGGGATTTGAAACCAGGGAGTGTGACTCCTGTGACAGCCTGTGCTCTTAACCATCTATCTACCACCCCAAATAAACGGAAATGAGGATCATTCCACCCCTGGCAATGAATTTTCTCACAACAGAGCCTTTCACTCTCATGACACAATGACAAGGAAGACATTATAATCCCATAAGAAAGATGAGGAAATTGGCCCCATAGGGATTAGGCAACCTGCTTAAGGTCCTACCAAGAGTAGAAGCTGCAGCCAGGAGCCCGGTCTGCAGGCTCCATGCCTCCTCCATCCTGCCTCCTCTTGAACCCCGCTAGTGTGACCCGTGTAACTGTCTGAATGGACTGACCTCAGGACAGCACCCTGTCCTTTGGCCCACCCCACTGCCATCCCCACTGCAGGGAGCAGGAGGGAGGGAGGTCAGTGCCAGGGCAGAGAGCAGCTGCCAGTGCAGCCCGAGGGTGAGAACCGCACCCGCTGGAGTGCAAGCTGCTCGGGCAGGCTGGCGCAGACGTCTCCTTCCCTGCTGGCGTCGGCTCTGGCACGTAGTAGACACTCAATGAAAACTTTTAACCCTAGGACAATGGAGGCAAACGTTGCATACAGTGAAATGCATAGATAATGAGTGTACAATTGGATGGGTTTTCACAGACACACACACCCCTGTCCCGTCACCACCCTGAGAGTTCCCTTGAGCCTCTTGCAGTCAATGCCCACCTCCCAGAGGCAACTTTGATCCTGACCTCTACTGACATGGGTCAGTTTTACCTGTTCTTGAATTTCATACAAATGAAATTATTCAGCACATATTTTTTTTTGCTCCTGTTTTTTGGTTGTTTCTGTGTGTGTGTGTGTGTGCTCAGATACTAATACATTTGTTTGTTAAAAAGGAATGAAAGGGCAGAGGAATAGCCATTGTAACACAAGAAGGGGTGTCAGGAGTCAAACAGGTGATGGGGACACGGAGTCAGGTGTTGCTCTGAGCCAGGGACAAGCAAGCAATGGACCGCCATTCAGGGAGACGGTGACAAGGTGAAATCAGGACTCCAGGCCAAGGCAGAGGACCCAGGCAGAGAATGAGCAGAGCCCAGAGCCCAGACCTGGGTGTAGAAGGATTCTCAGCCCCAGCCCAGACTTCTCTTAAGCCCCAATGCAACTCTCTCTCTTCTCCTCTTTTAGGAGGACTTCTTAGAAGAGGAGGGCCCCTCAGAGACAAGAAAGGTGGGGACTGTCCAGCCAGGCTGATGGGATGAAGATGAGCCCCTCCCCCCGGCCCCCATCACCCCACTGCCCCCAGCAGTTCCCCACCGAGGGAAATGGGCTGTGGAGGAGGAAGCTCAGCCAGCCCGGCCTGGCCACATGGCTGGGCTGGCGCTCCAGGACCGAGCAGCCCCCTAGGGCTCTGTTGGCACAGGCACCAGCCACAGGAGCCCTACACCCCAGCGCCAGCCTGGCACAGCTTCCCGGGGCCGAGAGCATGGAGAACCAGCCCTCTTCTTTCTTCAAGTCTTTTTCTTGCTCTCGGTAGATCCTGTACCTCGCCTCCCACCAGGCCCTTCTCAGTGGGTAAAGGTAAAATGTGCTGGCGTTCCGGGCCCACGCAGGCTGGCAGTGGGGCGATCATCGTGATGAATCACGCTGGCACCGCGGGCGCCCGGTCCTTGTTGAGGCGTCACTAATGAATTAGCTTCACCCCCAGCACGGGGCCTCTCAGCCTTTCCCCACTTCACAGGAAGGCAGGAAACCGAGACCTGGGAAGGGGAAGGCGGGGAGAGGGCTCTGCCAGCTCCAGGCATGGGTCCCAGACCCAGCCATGCCCTCTGCCCACACACGCGCTGCAAAAATACCCCAAGTTCAGCCCCCCAGAAACTGCCTCTGCTCCTAATCACGAGCTTTAACAATTGTGCCCACCCCCAACTCTGTATTTTTTAAAGAATTTCTTGAGCTACAGAAAAGGTACAAAGCTCCCTGTGATAAATACACACATGCCCAGTATCCAGCATTGACAATTGCTCACACTTTGTCATACTTACATCTATTTTCTTTTAGCTAAAAGGAAGAAAACAGCACATGGAATATAAAAGTCTCCTTTGTGTCCCCTCCGGTGTGCCCACAGGCACCTCCGCCCTGACCCTGCCGAGGCCCCTCTTGCTCCCCCGCCTGCCTTGGCGCCAGGATCACTGTGGCTGCTGAGACTCGGATAAGATCATGGAATGTTAGCATCGTAGGTTCTAAGACGGCAAGGATTCAAGCCTGTTAGAACCAACCATGAAAAGTCAGAGCTGGGAGGGTGCTTAGCTCCTCTGGGAGATCATAGGATCTTTTAAATGTCTACAAGAAGCTGGGGACCCTTGTCCCAGAAAAACGAATGGAGACAGGGATTCACCAACAATGTGCACAATTCCCATGGGTTCATGTCCTCCTGAGGGTCTGGTCCAACTCTCTCATTTGGCAAAAAAAAAAAAGGAAAGTGATGATGTCCTTCCAGCTATGGCCCACTCCCCTTGCCTGCACCAGCCAGAACTTGAGTTCCTGCCATCTTTCAGGTATTCATTCGACAAACATCAATCACCTAAGCAGCATCTAGATACTGGGGATTACTGTGAATGTGAACACAGTAGACAAAAATACCTGCCTTGGTGGAACTTACATTCTTGCAAGTGGATAGCCAGCAAAATGCACGTGTCAGGTTAGGATCGGGCTGTGGAGGAAACGAAGCAAGGAAGAGGGAGCAGGAGGACTGAGAAATGGGTGTGGGGGCTGCCATTTAAAGCTGAGTGGCCAGGGGAGCCCTCAGTGAGCAGATGGCATTGAGCAGCAGTGGGGGTGCCAGCCGCCCGGATGTCTGGAGGGGATGCGTTCTTGGCGGAGGGGACCGCGGTGCCAAGACTCTGGGGTGGGAGTGTGCCTGGGCCTTCAGGACAGCAAGGAGCCCAGGGAGCAGGGGAAGCTGGCAGCCGATGAGATGAGAGAGAGGAAGTGGGGCAGGGGCCGGCCAGAGAGGGCCATCGTGGAGACTTCGGCTTCGACTCTGGGTGAGAGGTCACTGGGGGACTTTGTGCAGCTGCAAGACAAAGACGTGTGTGTGTGTGTGTGTGTGTGTGTGTGTGTGTCAGGGGAAGGAGCTTGTGTAACTGGTACTTTCCCATCTTGCTTCCCTCCCACGTGATAATGACAGTTGTCATTTACTGAGCACCTCCAGGCTGTCAAATTTACCCTTTATTGCAGCTCTGCCAGGCAGGTGCTGTATTTCCCACCACCCTCCTGCTCTACAGATGAAGACATGGATTCAGAGAGGTTAAGTAGCTTGAGCAAGGCCACACAGCTGGTAAGAGACAAAGCCAGGATGCAAACCTAGTCCATCTTATTGCAAAGCCCCAGCTTTTGCTACTAAGTCTCATTGACCCTCTCTTAGCTGGGAGAAATCAGAGACACCACCCAGGGTGCCCAAAGCTTGCCCCATCCTGCAAATGGCAAAAGGATTTCCAGGAGCCCCCTACTTGGAGATTTTGATGTTGCCAGAGAGAATAAGAGTAGCTAAGAGCCACAGCACTCCCCATTTCCCAACCCAGGCCCCAGCGCTCAGTGTGTTTGCCTACCTTCGGGCGGGGGGAGTATCCTAAAACCCACAGGGCAAGCCCAGGAACCCCAAAACAGGTTCAAGAGGACAGAGCAAAGAGGCCCCAAGTCCTGGATCACTGTAGGCCTGTGATCTGGGCTCAGGGTTTACCTGATAGCAAATTCTATGCAGTCTCTCCAGTGGATAGTCGAACTTGCCAAGCTGGATCGGACACCACCAGCCCACTCCCCCACCCCCCTAAGAAACTGGAGCCCAGGCATGCCCCAAGGATCACGTTCCCCTGGAACCCTAGCTCTGTAAGTCACCTGCCTGGTCTGTTGAAAGCTGAGAGTCCTCTCCGGCACATACTCCACCCGCCCCCTGCAACAAGGG